GGGGGGGGGGGGGTTTACCAGTACGTACGTAAACTAAAATTATCCAAATTTATACTAGTAATAATAATAATAATAATAATCTTTATTGGAGAAATCGCAACCCGAAGGTTGAAGTTATACAATTACATATATATGAATATTTAAGTCAAGGAAGCCTGGTCATTTTTGCACTGGTGCACTCTGTAGGGGGTCTCACCTCCCTGGGGAGCATACAGCTCGGCTGCCATATTAGGCGCTCATAGCTAATATATCATTTCTGCACTGCCTGACCAGGCCCCTGCTTCAACCCCTTAGTGCTGAGTGCCAAGCGGGGAGACAGCAGGTACCATTTATAAAGGACTGGTATGTCCCCGGACGGGATTTGAACCCACGTCCTCCCGCTCCGGGATTTGAACCCACGTCCTCCTGACCACAAGGCCATCCGGTCGTGGTGTGTGTGTGTGTGTGTTTGTGTGTGTGCAGGCACGTGCGTGTGTGACAAAAGGGCAAAAGTGATTACTGATAACTTAAATTAAATGGAACCATTAGGGTGAAAAAGTAACAGCAGCTAAATTCATCTACTTCATATATCCAACAAATCTTGCTGACTATCAGTTTTTGTTTGAGTGTGTGTGATAAATGATAAGTTGTAACAGGCCTTACTGGAGAACAACTCAGTATACAAGGAAAACATCTTATCTGGGTTATCAAGGGTCAATATATTGTAGAATGATAATTCATGTAATAGATACTGGAGAAAACAAAAATATTTTGAGATAGAGGTCTATCAAATTTCAAGTGCATCCACTTAAATTTGAATGTACACAATCTGAAATATGAATTTAACTTAATCTAATTGCAGACTTTAGCCTATTTTAAGCTTAACAGCTTTATAAGCTTTATATGTTATTTTAAATTACTAGTAGTATAAAAAGGTCTAAGAATGCTTACTAGTACATTTTCAACATCTTTACATCTGCAATTACGCAGATTCCATTACAGTTGTCAATGATATCCTCATTACAGTAATCACTGGTAAAAGAAGTCATTAAATAGCCAAAGAAATAAGTGGATCTCTCCAATAAGAGTTTCTACTAAAGTTAATTTAAGGCCCATCTCTAATTTGAAAGTCGAGTAATGAGACTGCTTAACACAAATTACACTGCTGACTCAGTATGTTGACCTAATATGTTGACCCAGTATGTTGACCTGATATGTTGACCTTTAAGCTGAGAAACAGCCCATTGACACATAATAATATTAATTAGGATCACACACATGCATAAATTGACTGTGTGCAAATTAATGACATGAAAATGAAACCTTCTTTAACCACCAGCTGCTTACCAAGTAAATGTCAGCTCAATTACTTTGAAAGTTAGCTAACATCAAAGAACCACACCATCAGGGCAATAGTGACATGTCATAATGACATTATGAAAATTAATCTAAAAACATATTTTTAACAAAACTGACAGGTGGTCATTGAATCATGGAAAGATAACATGTCCTGCAGACATATGCAGGCCAATAATAAAATGTCAGATCAAGGTGTGTCTATTATCAATGGATAAATCATAGAGGGAAAATTATAATGCAAGGGGTCTGGAGGAGGGATGGGGGGGGGGGTCTAAGTCATCAGGGGAGCCCTAGCTTCTCTTGTGGCCCAATCAGTGGGTATATGTCAGTCCTGGCCATTTCAGCCAGGGATAGAGTCAAGTTATAAGCAGAAGAAAAATATTGTAAGTATAAACAACCAAAAAATGAGATAACGGCACCCTCTCCCGCGCAGGTAGTCACTAAGTAAATCTTATGACAGCTGCAACTACACTCCTCAAATACGACTTCAAGCATGCAGCAAGTGTCATCTAGTATCTACTAGTAATTAGATCCCCAGTGTTAAAAAAATCAACACTAGAAAGGCAAGTAGTGCCATATCTTTACGATAAAAATATTTAGGCACGTTTTTACCGAAAAAAATGAACGTCACACTCCTACTGTGTAAACTTAAACGGGTCGGATGCGGGAGGCGTTATGCAGAACATGAATCGTGGTCGAAAACGACCGGCGAAGACACAATAGCTCAATACTCACAATATTCCACTACAAGATGTGCACACGTAAGATCCTATCGTCATATTCACGTAGGTAGGGCCTCGTTGGCCACAGTCAAAGCACTGTTTGTTGTGTGGAAGGGACACCATCTCTCGTAACATTTTGAGGTGTTTCTCATCCTGCTTTCTCTTGTTGGTCGCCATCTTGAATTTGAAAGACGGAAGTAGGCGGAAACAAACGAAGTGGAAAATGTCCGGCCCAGTTCGTTAATGTGAAGTTGTACGCCACCTAACTCGCCGGCTTGCACGATATGGCCAAAACCATGATGTCAGTTGTCACATTTCCTTAATGTGAGATTAACGGTGGGTGTCAGTTCACGTGGGCAATAATTGTGTTGGATGAGACCAAAATCATATCGCCATCTCACCTAACACAATTCAGCAAATAGGCCAAGATCTAGTTTTTTTGTTCTTTTTTTACAGAAATATATTTTTAATATTTCGGGAAGTTGCCAAGTTTCTGTGTATTCTCTCAACAACAAGCTTGGAATTAACAAATCGGATTCTGATTTTTAAGATGAAAAATTACCCTTGTAAATCAACAGACATTTTGTATCACTTCTTCATCTTTTTGACACTAGAGAAATATTATTTTGGCCAAAGTATGTAAGTAATCGAAGTCGTTTTTCCTTCATTCATCTCGATATTCCATTTTTTATTTTACTTTATATTTTTGTTGTAAGAACTGAACACAATTATTTTAGGAGAAAAACACGGAATTCACGTTCTCCAGCATCTATGTCCAAAAAAATTTTTTTTTTCATTTGTTAATTTATTTATTGTTACTTGAGTGTGTAGAGGCATTCAGTGCCAACACGTGTGCATTTTTTTTTTTTTTTTTGGGGGGGGGGGTCAAAATATGCGACTTTTACATTTTTAAAAGTTTTATTGAAATGTAAATTTGAAAACGTGTTCAGGCAATTTTCATAGATAAAGTTATTACTAATTGAGCATAAATTCACATCTATTTTGTTCATCATGTTTTTATTTATCAATCTACAGTATTGACAGTGTTTTATTCGTCTTATTATTATTATTATTTTATTATTATTATTATTATTATTATTATTATTATTATTATTATTATTATTATTATTTCTTTACTTTGTTATACCAAAAGAAAGGGTGATTGATTCAGAGGGAGTAGGAATTGATAAAAACGGACATGTTTATGTCAAATTGACTAGAGAGTTAAACACCGTATAGGCTACCTAGCCCTATATGTTTTAGAACATTCTTTAAGATGATTTAAAAGTGTTCATATATATTGTCTTTTTTATACCAGTTAATATCAGCTATTCGAATTAAGATTAACTGATTCAACATTCCTTTTTTTATTTTTGGCCTATCTATTCATTTTGCAAAATGCGAATCTTTAAGTATTTTCTCTTGATAATTTTTGTCAGTCTAATGAATGTTTGCTACATGTACATGTACGTACCAACATTGCATAAAACCAAATAAAGAAATCCAATTTTCATACATTTTTTTCGTATTTTCATGCATAACATTTATAAATATATTTGTTTACGGTATACGTTTCATGAAAACCGTCTGAATCTCAAAGATGGTGTGAAATGCATTAATAACACAAAACATCGAAGGTTTATATACATAATTCAATTTATACACTTTTGTACACAAAATACGTTGTTTTACCATTGTGATGTAAACAAAGCCATTGAATTTAGGCTATACAACAAACTTTTGTAAAATCGTCACTGATTTTCTACGGACTTCTCGACACAACCACATGTATTGTATCACATATGAACGAACTGGCTTCATTTCCGTACAAAAACATGTTTCTTGGTAATTGTTATATAATAGAGCAGAGAAAATAGAGAAATGGAAATTGAATGTACCACAAAGGATTACAGATACAAATATAGCTTAAGCGATCTTTCTTTTTGAGCAGCATTAACGATGCAGTTATTTGTCCTTCTGTATTGTTTATATGTTAGGCTAGCGCTTCTGAAGCAACGCCCCTCATCCTCCAATTTTATTAATACTTGGATGGCATGCAACAAGATAAGTTTAGAAAATGATTCAGAAGATTTAAAACTGCTTAAATATAAACCAGGGCCGTAGGCTGGGTGGGTGGTGTTAGCGGGGCGTGCATTC